GAAACCTCACCACTACCAATAAAGTTATCAGAGGTTCAAAGTAAGGTTCACAGTCGCCACTAAACATAAATATCTTTTCCGTATATTTTCACCGTAGCAATGGTATTCAGTTGCCGTTGACCAGACCTGCTCTTGGAGGAGTCATTCTTTATTTTACACACTTACGAGGGCGCACGAGTAGCATACGATATTTATTGTTAGCCTGCCAGTGTTTAGGCTGTGCCGTAAGGAAACGATTTTTGTTAAACTTATGCAACCTATTTGTTTCTTATGCCTCTGAGTTAGGACAAGGAATTGATGAGCGACATGTAATCGAGAAAGTTTAAATAACACTATAGTGCTAATGCATAACAGTTGTTTTGGTTGACTACCTAATTTGCGTTCGTTTTTAGTTATGTTTAAATTCATATTTCATTACATAGTAATCAGGCAGACAACAGAGTTGCAAACAAGTTTACAAATAGACAAACCCAGGCTACGAACGCAGTCACGTGAGGACCTCCAAATGATAACTTTGAACAACCGGGGATACTCAGTTGGCAGAGCTTCAGACTCAGAACCGACAGATTCCTAGCTCGAGCTTTAATCAGGTCAGTCGCCTTTCTTCCTCCCGAGGTTAATAAAAGAGCACTACTATGTAGGTAGGAAAAAAGACAATACAACAATGGTTGTCGTATTGCGCATGTTGACTCTGCGGTATAAAGTAAGGCACTCATGGCTGATGACATGGAAATAAAGGTCAGCGTTCTACCTGAAACTTCATGGAAAGATCATCATGAGTACAAGTAAGACAGGCATTCTAACGGTTACAAACTTTCTTTCTTTTCTTTTCATTCGAACTATGTGTCACTTACTCCAAACCCTGACATGTACTCGTTAAACGTCAGTATCTTAATTCGTTAATCACTCATATTTTCTTAATTTTTCGGTTTTTCTGATAGTCTGTTTATCACTATTTTCGTCTACTAGTAAATTAGACATGTAAGACTTGTAGCGTTTCCTATCAGGGCAGTGAACTGCTACTTAACTATAGTGATTGGTATAGGATCAATTGGTATAAGAGTGAATAGTGATCCTCAGAATGATTGGAAACACAATGTTTATGTAGGAGCACCAACACCTGAGAAGGATATATCACACTATATGAATGGTACATAATTGTGACAATTACTGGGCACCGTCTTGTAAACTGGAATGATAGTCCTTATAGGAAGCTGAATAACAAGCTAGCAATTTAGAAGAGAGCTGAAGCCACGGGGTTTATGAGGAAAGGTTAAAATGTAAATCTAAGTGCACGAACTTAAATGGAATGGGAACAATAATCTTATCTTGATGGATTAGTTCTCGATTCTTATTAGAGATGCCCTCTCCAGGCACTACCCCTTCAAATTGAAAGTAATACATTGATCTCCATCGGTAGGACCCAGACTGATAATGATTGACCGATCTCCATCAGTACAATTTAGATTATGAGACATGCGAGACCAAAATGTAACGTTGGTTTCACGGGAAAACCTTCATTAGGTTTACAGACATATCCTCTCTTTTTTGTCACATAGGCAATGAAGAGGATGTTAATGTTTCTTTTATGTAACTACCATGAGAAATACTATTAAATTTAGTCTGATTGTGGTACGTATCAGTTTACCTAGGCTGATTGTATCAGCGTTCA